GTGTGATATGAAGCGGTATATAAATAAGCTGCTTTGCTTTGCTTTTGATGCATACAAAATGCACAGATACATTAGGAAAATCTACATGCAAAAACAAAAGCAAATTTTCATAATTTTTATTTTAATTTTATTTTATTTTTAATTTTTTATTAATTTTTATTAGGTTTTACCAAATAACAAACTTATATACAATGCAAATAACAGACCTTGGGAATGAGCAAAAAGAATTTCCACCCAATAATACATTCTTTTGAAGTTGTAAAAGGATCCAGAAAGGAAAATCATAGATAATTTTGCCGCAGTCGAGGGGGGGGGGTTAGTGTCCAAGATGCCCTTCCAAAAACCAGCTTGGTGTGAAGGTGGAGCAAAATTAGATATATTGTTATTATTATCAAATTTTCATGATTTTTAAAAAGCACTGAATAAGGCAGAAATTGGATACACCAGACATATGACTGAATACAAAATGACATGGACAAGATATATACTGATTCATACAATCCTACCTGCATAGCTACAAAAAATGTAAAGAAGCCCAAGGACTAATGGTATGGAATTAAAATAATCCCCATCTGAGCTTTTTTTGCTGTTGTTCTGTGCCTTAAGTCTTTGTTGACTTATGGTGACCTTAAGGCAAACCTATCAAGGAGTTTTCAGAAGCTGAGAGTGTGTGACATGCCCAGAATCATCCAGTAGATTTCCATGACTGAATAGGGAATCCAACCCTGGTCTCCAGAGTTGAAATCTTATGCTCAAACCACTACGCCACACTGGCTCTCATATGTACTTTGCTTAATCCTAAACATACCAGAAATATAGCAAAATGTGAATGTGGGGAGAGTACTTACCATTTCTAAAATTTCAAATTCTTTTTTAGCCAATAATGTAATTTTGGAAGCAGAATAAATATCACTGTTGTGGGGAATGAGAAAAGAAAAGAGAATGGGAAATTAGGAAGTGAATGGGTCTGGTCTTACCATTGGTGATCAGCTTCAAGTATGAATCCTAAACTTGGTAGATGAAGGGAATGCTGTGGATACAGCGTATATTGATTTCAGTATGGCCTTTGACAAGGTCCCCCATGATATCATGCAAAAAAAGCTAGTAAAATTTAGTCTAGACGATGCAACTGTTAGGTAGATTTGTAATTGGTTGACTGACCGGACCCAAAGGATACTCAACAATGGCTCCTCCTCATCCTGGAGAGAAGGGACTGTGCCACAGAGTTCTGTCCTTGGCCCAGTATTATTCAAAATCTTTATCAATGTCTTGGATGATGGAATAGAGGGCATTCTTATAAAAGTTGCAGATGACACTAAATTAGGAGTGCCATGCTGGCCACATGACCACCAGAGCAGTACTCAGACAACGCTGGCTCTTCAGCTTAGTAACGGAGATGAGCACCTCCCCCTACAGTTGGTTACGACTAGACATTCATGCCAAGGGACTACCTTTACCCTTACATTTACTTTTACCAATACCCAGTGGACAGGATCAGAATTACCTTAACAGATTAGAAAACTGGGCCAAAACTAACAAATTGAATTTCAACAGGGAGAAATGTAGGACACTACACTTCGACATTAAAAAATAGGATGGGGGACACCTGGCTTGACAGCAGTATGTGCGAAAGGCATCTAGAAATCTTAGTGGACCACAGGATGCACATGAATCAGCAATGTGATGCAGCAGCAAAAAAAGTCAAGGTGATTCTAAACTGCACCCATAGGAATATAGTGTCTAGACCAGTGGTTCTTAACCTGGGTTTGATCGAACACCGGGGGTTCGGTGAATCAGTCTCGTGGGTTCGGCGGAAGTCCCACTATTTATATGCCCCATCCAACCAAACCAGCTTGCCCCGCCTCCACCGACAGAAGTGGCCCTCTGATTGGCCGTGTGGCATGAGTGACAGCGCAGCGGCCCACTCCCCTCACCGGATGGTGCTGATGGTCCGTCTGTATTGCAGTAGAAGGGTTCAGTGAATGCGTAAGAATTGTAATAAGGGTTCGGTGAATGCGCATATGAAACTGGTGGGGGTCAGTACCTCCAACAAGGTTAAGAACCACTGGTCTAGACTGAGGGAAGTAACAGTACCACTATATTCTGCTTTGGTCAGACCTCACTAGGAATATTGTGTCCAGTTCTGGGCATCACATTCAAGAAGGATGTGAACAACCTGTAGTGTGTCCAGAGGAGGGTGACTAGAATGATGAAAGGTCTGGGAACCATGTTCTATGAAGAGCAGCTTAGGGAGCTGAGTATCTTTAGCCTGGAGAAGAAAAGGTTAAGAGGTGGCATGATAGGCATTTTAAAATATTTGAAGGGATGTCGTATTGAGGATGGAGCAAGCTTGTTTTCTGCAGCTCCAGAGACCAGGACATGGAGCAACGGATTCAAGCTACAGGAAAAGAGATTCCACCTAAACATTAGGAAGAATGTCCTGACGGTGAGAGCTGTTCAAAAGTGGAACATGCTGCCTTGGAGAGTGGTGGAGTCTCCTTCTTAGGAGGTTTTTAAACAGAGGCTGAATGGCTGTCTGTCAGTGTGTGTGTGTTTGTGTTTTTATTGTGTATTACTGCATGGCAAGAGTTGGATTCGATAGCCCTTGTGGTCTCTCCCAACTCTGTGATTCTAATTACAAAACGATTGTCAGCCAGGGTTTTAGATTATGACATGCTTAGCAAGTACTTGGTATTCAACTAGCCCAGTGTTAAATTAGGAATGCTTTTATGGATTCACTGTTTGTTTAAAAAACGTTCAGGCATTATTGTTAAAAGTTTAAATCTTCACACACATACTTCTTAAACCAAGCTTAATTATTTTCAAAACGTTGCCAGATTTTGAATCTTTGATTTGCAGAAGAAAGTCAACAAAGAGGAGTTCTGGATTAGTAGTGATTTAAGTACAGTTAAGGACTTTTGCAATAATCACAAAGGATGAAAGAGCAGACTGTGCAAGAATTGATTACACAGGGAGAAATGATGCGATCTGGCAATTACTTCCCCATCACTTGCTGTAGCTCTCTTTTCCCAAATTAGCCAGTGTGGGTCTTTGAAGCCCACCTTTTGCAAATCAGAGACAGAAGATTCCTTACACTACCTACTAATGGCCACTGTGCAACTATTCTATCTGTTCTTCCTTGATTAGTAGCTTGTGAAATGAAAAGAAAAAGGGAAACCCATTGGGAAAACATGTACAAGTGGAAGACAATGAGGATAGGTAGATTCCCTCATAAAATTCTGTGAATAGGGAAGGGAGAATACATGAGAAGAAACTATTTTGCCCTTTTCAGATGTTATAGATCTGTACATAGTTGGGCTAATATGGTGCTGTAATTAGAGTACTGGGCAAGGATTGGGAAGCAGAGGTGGAAATTTCTCCCAATTTGGTTCTCTCTCACACACACAAAAGGAAAAATGTCAATTCTTCTCTACTAGACCAGAGTGTAAGGGTCTTTGTGTGGCTTTTTAAAAATAATATTTTGGACTTTTTAGTGAAAATTTCACAAAGGCTTCTTTTATATATAACCCCTGCCAGCATTATTGTACGACAGTTCCAACTGGAGTAGTAGACACACTAAGAAAGGTTGCCTACCCCTACACTAGATCAATGGGGTTTATCCATATGTTGACTCACCATTCAACATTTGATTCAGTGGGTCTATTCTAATTGTGGCTCACCCATAGGATATAGGTATTCTGTGCCCTTCCCCCCAAAAGTGCACAAATCACTTTGGAAATTTTTCACAACAACATTCCAAAATATGAAAAATGGTGTGGCAGTTGATTGATTTTATTTTTGAAAAATACCTTTCCAAATGAGGGAAATTTGTGAATATTCTTTGCATCTGTATTTGGAAGGACTAGGGAAACTCAGGCTGCTGCTACACTGCAGAACGAATGCAGTTTGACACCACTTTAACTGTCAAGGCTCTGTTCTATGGAATCCATGGATTTGCAGTTTGTAGAGGTCTCTGACAGAGAAAGCTAAATATTTCACACAACTATAAATTCCAGAATTCCATTGTACTGGCCATGGCAGTTAAAATAGTGACAATTTGCATTATTACTGTATTGTAGATGCAGCCTTAGTGGGTGAATAAGGGTCAAGTAACACACACTCTCTTTCTTTCTGTCTGCCTGACCTATCCCACAGGGTTGTTGTCATGACTGGATGTGGGGAAAGAAGAGCCATGTATATCAATTTGAGCCCAACAGATGAAAAGTGAGGAATAAATGGAAACCAACTGTGAAGAAAAGGAGCACCCTGCCTCTGTTTCCATTGCCCTCAACTCATGGAGTATGACTTTATAAAGTGGAGAACCTGTGTTCATGGAGGCTCTCTGTGTCATTTTAAATTCTAATGGGAGGGGGCTTATCTTTTTGAGAAAAGCTTTTTACAGAGAGAGGAGTTTCTCTCTTTCATAAAATCACACTCTACACACACATCTCAACCAAATTGGTGGTAGAGGGAAAAGTAGCCCCTTGTTCTTCATGTGTACAGATCCTTAGTGCCTGAAGATGACTCTAGAACTATGCCAAAAGCTATCCTTGCATGAAAGGGTTATATTTGCAAGGAAAATGAAACTTTTTGTGACATGATTTTTACCAGAGACTAGACCCAAGGAGATCTTGGGAGGTTCAGGTAAGGCTGTTTCTGGGGACGAGACTTTTCTTTTTCTCCCCCCATTATGATCAGGAATGGGAGTCATGAACCACTCCAGATGTTGTTGTGTCACTGTTCCCAGCATTTCTCACCATGAGGTGTGCTGGTTAAAGCTGATGGGAGCTGCAATCCAACAACAACTGGAGGGAATGAATGATACTCCTCCCTTGCCCTTGCTGGTGAGATTGTATCTCTCGGTTGGGATATCCTGCCTTCCCATATATGCATGGGAATAAAAGTGAATTTCAGCAGGCAAAGCTGATTTGAAATCTGAATCCATGGCCTTTCTTGGAACACCTCCTTCCCAACACTGAAGGAACATCAGCAAAACTTTCTTTTCCCGCCTTCAGAAAGACAGACACCCCATTGACTCCCCAAATCCCAGGACGGCAGCCTTAGCTCAAGCTTTCAGACATAGAGCTGTAGTTTCCAATCCGTGCTGATCAACAGAAGTTTAACCAGAAATGTAAAAGCAAGGGTTCTTTTAAGAAGAGCCATATATATATATATATATATGAAAATCTCTTGCTCTCAGTAAAAGGAAAGTGGTTAGTTTTGCCTGCTCTCCTTTAAAGCCTACAATTAATTGGCACAAATTCCCTTCACACCATGGGACAGCCTCAGGTAGCAACAAAGCAGTGCTTTAAAAAGGAAGTTGCATTTAACAGACTAATTGGCCCATAATTATTGCTCAGTAGTTGAAAGGATATGGAGGGATGGGACTAGGCTTGGCAGGAGGAGAAACAATGCAGGCTGATTTGAGAAGACCTCTGTGCCTTCTGTGAATGTTGCCTGCCTCCTTTCATGCCACTGAAGCTGTGAGAACAGAGGATGCAGCTGGGAAGGAACACTATCTATGACGGGATTTGTGAAAGCCCTCAGTGCTGTGGTGGCGTTCAGTACTACCCACATCTCCACAGTATGGTGGAAGGAGACAGTATGGCATAGTGGTTTGAACAGGAGAACAGGATTTGAATCCCTACTTGACCACTGAAACCTACTGGGTGACCTTAAGCAAGTCACACACTCTCAGCCCTCAGAAACCCCCCATGATATGTTCACCTTAGGGTTGCCATACGTTAGAAGTGGCTTGAAGGCACACAACAACAACAGCAATTCACTGTGCGATGTTACACCATTAAACCTAACAGGCCAGAATTCTGTTAGGGTCATTCACATATGTAGTTTTCCCTTATGCACATGGATATCCTTTTTGGACACTGTGCAGGTTAGTATTCCCTTTCTTCCTCTTCCTAAAACTGCCCTGCATGCCATTCCATCCTTTGTGGCAAATAAGCAAGACTGGAGAAGCATAGCCAGATGTGATCAGTGCTGGAATCTGCCAGGGTCTTCCAGGATAATTTTTCATCTGGCTAGAGGGACATAGCCAGACATTTCTCAGAGCTTCCCTGCTCAGTGCAAAGCACAGAATGGCCATGAAGGGTGACTTCAGGGGCTTATCAGTAAATTGGGATGAGGGTATATGGTTCAGTGTAGCATAGAGCCAGCATGGCACAGTGATTTGAGTATTTGACTACAATTTTGGAGACCAGGGTTTGAATCCCTGCTCAGCCACGAAATGCATTGGGTGACCTTGGGCAAGTCACATGCTCTCAGCCACAGGGGAAGGCAATGGCAAACCTCTGAACAAGTTTGCCAAGAAAACCCCATGATAGGGTAGTGTTAGGGTCACCATCTTCGGGCCCAGCTCCACCCATATAATCCATCCCGCACACTCAGGTCCTCTGGGAGGAATTTGCTGCAGCCTACAAAAACTAGGCTGTCTGCAACCGCCCAGAGGGCCTTTTCAGCAACCACTCCCAGATTATGGAACAGCCTGCCAGATAAGATCCATCATATCACCACTTTAGACAGTTTTTAAAAAGCTGTTAAGATGGATCCGGCAGGCCTTTCCTGAATAGTCACCCCGGCCTCATGAGTCAGCCCATTCCTTCCCCATTCTCCGCCACTGTTGTTATTTGTTTGTCCTGTTACTGTGATTACTTTAATGTATATTTAAACATGTTTTAATCTGGTTATTGTTTAATATTATTTTAAGGGGTGGGTGTGCTCTGGGATTATATTGTACTCTATGTATTTTAATGCTGTATGCTGCCTCAGTTGCATTGCAAAGAGGTGGGATAAAAATAACTACTACTACCATAAATCACAAAGGACTTGAAGGCAAACAACAACAGCAGCATAGGTCTGCATGAGGTTATTTATGCCACACTAAGGCCCACACACTCTCAGCTCCAGAGGAAGGCAAAGGCAAACCCACTCTGAAAAATCTTGCCAAGAAAACCGTGTGATAGGTTCACCTTGGGGTCACAAAAAGTCAGAAACAACTTGAAGGCACACAACAACAACAACAACAACAACAACAACAACAACAATGGGATGTAGGATTGATAAAATTCAACTAAGAGTGAAACCAGATGTAAGGACCTCATGATGATGATGATGCCTATCATCAAAACAACATCCACTACCACCTCGCTGAGTGATCAGTTCGTGGACAGAATCTGAATCACTCATGGCTCAAAACGTTCAGACAGTAACATCTGGTAGACCATAAAACCAATTAACAATAGCAACAATAAAAAGAATTATCTCCATTTTTATTGTTCTCTTCCTCCAAAGAGCTCAGCACTAGATTTGAGTATAGCCACAAAGTCCATATCTGCAGACATTCACCACACCACACACACACCACATCTGATCAACACCTCACTCTGTTGCTTATTTTATGGGAGGAGATCTGTTGCATCCTCTGCATATTTTTGCACCCACTGGGTGCATATCGGTGTGCTTGATCACATTCCTCCAACTGACTAAAGTGAGCTTAAGAAATCCTTTGTATGCATTCAAAATGTACACAGTTCCATGCATACTTTTCAAAAGTGCAATTCTTTCTTCTGATGCATCCACAGCTGTTCATCAACATAAGGATCCCCCAAAAAGTGACTGAAGGCCTGTACAGACCAGCCAAAAGGACTGGCCTGGGGGGTGGAGTCGGGGCGTGGCGACCACACGCCGGTTGCCCCAACTCTGCCCCCTCGTCATCCTCATGCTGTCCAAGCAACCACACGGCAGGTGGCAAAAAGGCATGTCTTTGGCACAGTGTTTACACATGCTGTGCCAAAGAAGTAACAAAAAGCTGCTGCCACCACAGGTAGAGCACCCTTTTTGCAGCTTCTTTTTGCACTGTGGAAAGGTCAGATCAGGGCCACGGCATGTGGTTGCAGTGGCCCCAATCCAACAAGGAAAGAGGCGGCGTCCTGCCACCCCTTAGGGAGCAGCCCTTATGTCAGCCCCATATACATTATGTGCCATATATACAAGGGGTGTATCCACACTGCAGAATTAAAGTGGTTTGACACCACTTCAGGTGTCATGGCTCCATTCTGTGGAATCCTGGGGTTTGTAGTTTAGTGTGGTTTTCAGCTTGGTCTGTGAGAGAGCTCCGGTGCCTCACCAAACTACAAATCCCAGGATTTTGTAGGATAGAGTCATTGCAGTTAAACTGATGTCAAACTGTACATAGTTTCACATGGCCAAGGTGAAAATTTGGTAAGACGTGATGTTTTAAAATACATTTTAAAAGGATAAAATTTTTATTTTTTTAAAAAAAAATAATTTTGTAAACTGAAAACCCCTGAGGTCTCTCCTTTCTCCTCCCAATCAGCCTTGCCACAGTCACACTATCTCATCCACTGAGCTCCAGCACTTTAAAGGGATGCAGGAGAACACCACAGCATGTTTCTGCCAAAAGGCAGAAGCTTGGGGAGCAGTGATGTCACCCCTTAAGATTTCACCTGGTGTGGTCTGAACCTTTCACATCCCCTAATGATGCCCCTGGCTCAGAGCTGACCTCAAGAAAGAGAACTATTTAGACTAAATAGGATGCTCCTGTGCTCCCCATTGCTGTTTCAGCTATATGTAATGTCATGTAATGCAACACAAGACAAAAAGTGTTGTGTGATAACAAGTAGACTAGAATTGTACAATACCATACCATTTGCCATACAGAGATGTACAACCTATCAAGACATGGGCATTGTACCATTCAGCAGAAAATAATGATGAACGGGAGAGCAGGTCTGTGCAATTCCACAATATGATAAGGAGTACATGATGATCAATGACATTCTGTGAGGTTACTGACAAGTGGCGTGAGATACCACAAGGTACAATTTAACAGCATAATACAGTGCTGCTCAAAGCAGTGAACCACAGGACTGTTGGAAACACAGGGCCAATCCATTTGCTGAGTAGAGATGGTACACTGGTATCAGGCCTGGCAGTTTCTGGGAGCCAAGGGGTAATAACAGATATATAGAGCAACCTTTGCCAAACTGTTGGCTTTAAACCCCAACTCTCACCAGTCCCAGTCAGCCTGACTGCTTGTCAGGGATGATGGGAGCTGCAGGTAAAAACATCTGGAGGGCACTAGATTGGCGCATGGTGCCCTTGAGTCTTCAAAGCATTTCACATGCTTTGATTTAATCATCTCTATGACTGTAATGAGGAATCTCTGACCCACACAACTAATATTGGATCTCCTCATCTGCTGGGAAAGGTTCCCAGCAAGCCCCTTCCCTCCAGCACGTGTCCACACCTGTCTCCCAAACCCTACTTCCTGGATGCCAATGGGATATAAATCCTCGATGTTGTCTCATATCCCTGGTTGGAGATAACAGCAAAGATTCTGCTGCACTCTCCTTGTCATCCAAACTGAGAGGACAGGAGCTGCGCTCTGAGGAACACTGCCATTATCTCTAACCACAGAGTGCAGGGATCTCAGGGTGACCAGACATTCTCCTTGTCCAGGACATGTCCTACATTTCAACCTTCTGTCCAGGAGGAATTCCAA